TCATCAATCTATCATCTATCTATCTATCAATCATCTATCTCTATCATCTATCTATCTATCTATCTATCTATCTATCTATCTATCTATCTATCTATCTATCTATCTATCTATCTATCTATCTATCTATCTATCTATCTATCTATCTATCTATCTATCTATCTATCTATCTATCTATCTATCTATCTATCTATCTATCTATCTATCTATCTATCTATCTATCTATCTATCTATCTATCTATCTATCTATCTATCTATCTATCTATCTATCTATCTATCTATCTATCTATCTATCTATCTATCTATCTATCTATCTATCTATCTATCTATCTATCTATCTATCTATCTATCTATCTATCTATCTATCTATCTATCTATCTATCATCAATCATCTTTTCTCTCTCAGATATCCATGTGAGTAAAACCAAACATTGGGTCTATACAAGTCCAAAAATGCAAGACTAGAATTCATACACAGAAGGCTAAAGTATGCAGTAGCCCCTGAGGGTCAGTTAGCTTCTGTAGACAGAATCATTCTAAAATTTTTCTGTGATATTAAAAATTGCAGGGCTCAGGGCTGGAGATGGTTCAGTGCTTAAGAACACTGGCTGCTCTTGCAGAGGGCCCAGGTTCGTTTCCCAGCACCCACGTGATGGTTGACAAACTCCAGTTCCAGGGGAATCTGACGCCCTCTTCTGATTGCTGTGGGAACTGCACTACATGGATGTACTTACATGCAGGCAATACAATCATACACACAAAAATAAAGATAAAAAATAATAAAACACTTAAAAATTGCAGGGCTGGCAAGAAGGTGCTTTCCATCAAAGCTGACAACTTGAGTCCAACCTCCAGTTTCTACATGATGGAAGGAGATAAGTGACTTCTGAAAGTTGTCCTCTGACCTCCACACCACCATGGCCCTCAACACATACACTGTGCACATACAAAATAAATAAATGTAAAAAAGTTAATTTCAAAAATACAGGACATTCTGTTAGGACTATGCAGTAAAAGGGACCTATACGAGGTATATCAGACCCCATAGAGGGAAATACTCACTTTATCAGCCATCACAGAGGCAAAAAGGAAACGTCCTCCAAGACCAAATGAATAGATTTTCATGCCAATGGTTTTGAAGGTTTTTCCTAAGTCTGAAGTTCTCCGTAATTCCAGGGCTCCAAGGTCAGCTTCTTAAACAAGACAAATATTAATTAAAATTTCACTTACTGGTAAGCCTAGTTCAAAACAGCTGCTTCAGAATTGTTTTTATTTTAATACAAAAAAGCATTTTTTAAAAAAGTTTTCATTTTATGTGTATGAATGTTTTGCCTGTATATAAGTACACCATGTACATGCAGTGCCCACAGAAGCCAGAAGAGGACACTGGACGTAAGCCACCATGTGGATACTGGGACCCAAATCTGGGTCCTCTGCAAGATCTCCCAGAAAAGCATTTTTAATCCAGTGCCTATTGATCAAGTGATAGTGTAAATGAGATATAGCATCAGATACAGGGAATTTGTGCTTGGATTTTATATATGTGAGGGTTTATGGAGTTCTCAGGATTCAAACACAGTGTTACATTAAACAGCAGTGGCAGATTCCTTTATACTCTCTTCATGGTATGCTTTAAAATTGTCTTACTCTATTTTGAGTGACGGTCTGGTTTTCTCATTTGTCATCTAACACCCTTACTCAAATCTATATTCCATGAGAGCAGATCCTGGGTGTTTTGTCCTCTCTATCTTTAGACTTGTGTTTAGCCAACAGCAAATAGACATTTGCTGCATGAATGGTGCATGCCTTTAATCCCAGCACTTGGGAGGCAGAGGCAGAAGGAGCTCTGTGAGTTCAAGGCCAGGCTGGTCTACATAGTGAGTTCCAGGACAGCTGGGGCTAACCAAAAAAAAAGATTTTACTTTCTGTGTTTGCAGCATGGATTGGGAGGCTAATAGTTTAGCCAACATGAAAACAATGCATGCTCCTTTGCAGAAACTCCTAAGCAAACCACTACACAAGTCAATTTGCTATTGTTTAGAGTCCAGCATTTGCTTTATCTAATTAATATTCTGCTGTTATGGTTTGAATGCAAAATATCCCCCACAGGTTCTTGAGTTTAAATGGTTGGTGCTGTTTTGGGAGTTAAGGAATCTTTGGAGCTGTGACTAACAGAAGTGGGTCACTAAGGGACAGGACTTGAAGATGGTATATACTTCTGGTTCTGGACCAAGCTCTCTGCTTCCTGATCTACTAAGATATGGACAAGTAGTGCCACACACTCCCACTGCCAGGAGCAGCTATTCTCTCTTCACCCTTCAAACTAAACGCTATAATAAGCCTCTCTTCCATTAAGTTGCTTCTGTCAGTATTTGGTCAGCGATGAGAAAAGTATTTATTACACAGCTTCCTTGCTTGGATATGCTTGATCATGTGGTCTTGGGCTTCCAGAACTGGCTTGTAGAAGGAATGTCCAAGTTTGGAACTGTGGGTAGAGAAGCAGCACAATGCTACAAAGCACAGCTTAATGGGCCATTCTAGTGAGAGCTCATGAAGGTCAGAATGCTGAGAGAACTATAGATAGTGAAGGCAAGGCTCATGACTTTAAATATGCAACAAGGTCTGTATTGAGAATTAGGCTAGAGGTCATTCACGTTACATTCTGGAAAAAGAATCTGGCTAAACATTGCCTATGTCCCAAAATTTTGAGTGAGGCTGAATTAAAAATAATGGACCAATTTATTTGGCAGAGATCTCCACACAGCATGACATGCACCATAGTTACTGCTCACTGTGTTTAGTCAGGTTTACAGTGAGAATTCAAAGGAAAAGGTGGATGAAAAAGGTGTGGAAAATGTGCAGTTTGCTGAGGAAAGGAACAGGAGCATGTTTAAAGTTGCAGATGAGGCAGGTAAGACAAGGCGGTTGTAATTGTTACAGAGAGACTAGTGTAATTAAAGAAAAGCAAGCACTTTGCATGAGGACAACAGGAAAGGTGTTGTTAAGGGCAAGATCTCACCAACACAGACTCTGGGGCAAAAGATATGAAGTCATTTAAAAAACTTTGTTTTAGAAAGAGAGTGCTGGGGCTAGAGAGGTGGCATGGTGGTGAAGAGCAATGTCTGCTTTTGCAGAGAACCTGGGTTCAGTTCCTAGCATCCATCTGGTAACTAACAATCCTCATAACTCCAGTTCCAGGGTATCCTATGCCCTTTTCTAGCCTCCATGAGGGCATTGCACATATGTGGTGCACCTAATATATAAGGACAAAACAATCATATGTATAAAATAAAAATATTTTTTAAAAAGAAAAACATGACAATGGAGATTTTGAAGTTGAACTGAATGTTATTTGTATTATAAGATGGGCATGAACCTATCGGGGGGCAGTGGAAGAATGTTATGGTCTAAATGTGCAATGTCCTCTACAGGCTCAAGTGTTGAATACCTGGTCCTTAGTTGGTGGCACTGTTTGAGAGGTTATGGAACTTTTGAGACTGTGGCCTAGCTAGCGAAAGTGGGTCACTCGGAGGTAAGCCTTGAAGGTGATCTCTGTTTCTGGTTCTTGGCCTGAGCTCTCTGCTTCCTGATACACCAAGATATAAAGAAGTCATGCCCCAAGCTCCCACTGCCATGGACAGAACTACTTCAACCCCCATACTTCCTCTACCATGATGGATTGTACCCTCTGAACTGTGAGCCACAGTGAACCACTCTTCCCTAAGTTGCTTCTGTCAGGCATTTGGTGCCAGCACCAGTTGGATTGGTGTAACTGCTAAGAAGTAATATATGGTCTCCATGCCTAGTTATATTTTTATTGATCTGGGCATGGTGGTAGTGATTTGGTAGTACTTTCAAGATTTTAAAAATCATTAACAGCTATCTCTAACTATTGAAGGATAGGAAGACCTTTTGTTTCTACCACTTACAGGCCAGAATATTCTACCATGAATGGACAGCAGGACACTCTTTTCTGGCATTAAAATATACTTACTGCAGGAGCCATTCGCATAGGTGGTAAAATAGATGATGTTTTCTGATCCCCTACAAAGAGGCAAAGACAGAATAAGAAATGGATTAAGACTGTTAAGAGACTGTGTCATCCTAGCCACAAAGTCCCTGGTGTGTGGAGAAGGCCCCGTCCACAGGCAACATCCAGCTGGCATGGCCTTCTCACAGCTGCGCATCCTTCTCCCATGGCCCACTGGTTGAGCACCCCACCGTTGGGGCCCCTTTCTCTTCCACAGTTGACTCTTCACTGTGAGGACTTTTCCAGCCCATCAAACTGATATACTTAACACTCTCTAGTTCTGTTTCGTGTGTCATACTATTTTCCCTCCAAAATGCTTTTCTCTCATGTCACTAAACCATAACCTTACAACCTTCCAGCACCAACTTAAAAAACTAGCTCTCCTATAATCCTTTCCTTGTCACTCTAACTGGAAGGCTTTTTTGCTGTGATATTCTAGAGCAGAGGGTTCTCAAGAGCAGGAAATTCTGCCTCTCAGGGGACACTTGGCAATGTCTGGAGATTTTTGGTTTTTTTTTAAAGAATTATTATTTTTTCTTTCTTTCTTTTTTATTTATTTATATACCCACTTCCCAGGTAGCATCCTCCCATAGCCTCCCTCCCCCCACTAGAGCCCTTATACTCTGATATCCCTGCTACTGTCTGCTGTGTTGTCAGCACCCCCAGCCAATCCCCACTACTTGCCCTTCTGGTGAATCTAGTCAGCCTATCTAGAGTTTTAGGAAGGTGAGCTGTTTCTCATCTAGTGGTAATCAGTTATCTATATTCCTTTGGATAAGACTGGGGTCTGCTGTTCATTTTCCTAGTTCTGTGCTGCATTACTATCTGGGAGTCCCATGGGCCACCCTGGCCAACAACTCAAAAGAAGGTACTGCCTGTCTGGCATTGTTGCTTGTTATGTAGCCTTTAGCTATGCATATGGACTCTTATGAAGTTATGTTGGCCCATTTAATCTTTGGTTATACTTTCCTTTTGGGTGTTTAAGGCCATATAGTTGGTACAGATAAACCGATTTATTTTTACTCTTAAGGTCGTTTGAGGATCTGTTCCTCAGGGGTCACATGGGCTTGGGAGGAGCCCCTGGCTCTTTTCTTTTACCAGTTCTGCCTATATGAAGATAAGTCAAAGGTCCTACTCGACCATGGTTGGCTTCGCTTGGAAGCATGGAGGAAGTGATTCCTCTGTGTTGACCCATGTCTGGAGATATTTTTTGGTTGTCACAACAGGTTGAGGGAAGGAAAGGCAGGAGTTACTCCTGGCATCTGGTGGATACAGGGCAGTGATGCTGCTAAACATCCCACAATGCTCAGAACAGCTCCTTCAGTAATAACTTACCCAGCCCAACATGCTGCTAGTATGAGGTTGAGAATCCTGGTTCTAATGACCACAGGGCCTAATGGAATCCCTCTCCTGTGCACCATGATATACTACACTAATCAGCTGCCATTCATCTGTCACCTAGTCAGTTCTTTTAATTTTACAGTATGCACCTTAATGCTCCTGCTGCACTAACTGGCTTCCTCAGGTTAGCTACTAAGCTTTCTGTTTTGTGGTTTTTCATCTGAATTTAACTCAATGACTTTTATGCGCTAAATAATTTAGTTCTTTTATCTCAAATAGACAAGTAGGTCAGAGGTTGAATTATTTAAAATGTAACCTGGAAAGGCAGTTTGCAGGGAACTAGATCTAGACCATGATAGTACTGATAGGTTACCAGCAGCAAAAAGTCTCAGGCTTCAGTATGCTTTTGCAGAATTTTTTGCTGTAAATTCCTAGAGATCAAAGTTCTCAATGTTAAGTTATGAGTAGCAGTAGCTCAGCTATCTTGAATTTAGAGCTAAACAATGTGTTATAAATAAAGGATCTTGTGTAGTATATAAATACAATACCATTGAAAAATAACCTCTTCATTGTAAAGATAAGATTTTTTATTTTATTTTTTATTTTATGTGTACGCGTGTATTGCCTGCACGTAGGTAAGTGCACCCGTGTCGTGCAATGCCCGCAGAGGTCAGAAGAGGCTGTCGGATCCTCTGGGACTGGAGTTACAGACAGTTGTTAGTTACCATGTGGGTGCTGGGATTCGAACCCGGGTCTTCTGCAAGAACAACCAGTGTTCTTAACTGCTGAGTATCTCTCCAGTCAGATAAGGTTTTTAAAAAAATTTTATTTTAATTTTATGCATATGAGTATTTTGCCTGCAATGTAAGTGCACCTGTGTCATGCAGTGCTCATGGAGGTCAGAAGAGGGTGTTGGATCCTCTGAAACTGGAGTTATAGAAGGTTGTTAGCCACCATGTGGTGCTGGGAACAAACCCAGGTTCTCTGCAAAAGCAGCCAGTGCTTTTAACAGGCTGAGCCATCTCTTCAGCCCCGGTAAAGATAAGTTTTAATGATTAAGACTACCACAGTCATAAACATGTTCTACATATTTTAAGTCCATTAGAAGTAAAATAATTTGCTAATTTAATTACCATAAGACTTACATCCTTCCCACTTAGTCCTATACAGAACAAATAGCACTGATTAAAATACTCAAAATCAGATTGCATGGGTAGCACAGTAATGCTCTAAAAACTTCATTTAACAAACATTTCTGGAAAAGACCTACTTATTTAAATAACATATCTAGCATTTTAACTACTTTTAGGAGATATATTTCAAACATGCATGATTTATTTTTTCCAGTTCTCTAAGTGCATTAAACTTGTGATTTCGGGTCATCCCTATTAATCATATTAAACTGTAATTCAGTGTTCTCCCAGATGTTACTGAAGTATGTGTCCTTTCTTGATGTAGCACAAGATCAATGTTCTGAGTTTCATCTTTTTTCATAGCTTTTCTGCCCACTTCCAGCTCTCAGGCTGTAATTCTAAAGCTGTCACGTGCCTGAGGTAGCAGCCCCAGAGCTCAACTCTGGCAGCAATCTGCTACAAACTGGAAAAACAGATTAATAGATTTGTTGAAATTAGTCAGAGGAAAAGAAGAAAGAGACTCAGGAACAAGTATCTGAGCCTAATAGGAATCTGGGAGGTACGAAGGCTATTAATTCAACTCTTGCTTTACTATCCTCCACACTCCCCAAAGAGACCTCCTTCTGCCAAGGGGGAAACGGAAGCCCAGAGAGGCTAAGCCACCAGTTAGCAGGAGAGCCAGGCTGGAACAAAGGTGAACTGGCTCCTTAGTCAGCGCCTTCTCTGCTGTGGTGTCTTTAAGCAGGCACTCCAGACGCCAGGCACGCTGCCAGGAGAAAGGCGTGCTTTCTTCCTGAGTTCTTACCATGTTCTAGGCAACTGAAATGCAGTGCTAGACAGGGAGTGTAAACCTGGGTGCAGAGAAGCATTTAAATCCCCAAATTAAAGTTGTATTTTATGTTCCAATTGATGGCACTAGCTGTGGAGAATAAACCTTTTGCAGGCAGCAGTCACTGAGTGCTTTATGGGACAACATTTAGCGAGACTAAACCCTCTTTTCCAGCACATTAGAAGTTCCTTCAGGGCAAGGTCTGTGATACAGTCCTCTCTCCCTTATGGTACCCTGAAGAGTACTTGGCACATAGTAAGCACTCAATATTTATTCATGTGACTTTTGGCAGCACTATCAGGAAAGTTTAGGGCTCTGCACAGATGGAGTCTCTGTTACTCACCATTTGGCCAAGCACACTGCTTTGTGGATTTCTTCCCATTTTCCCCCAAAATTCTTGGACAACCACAGGCCATTCTGAAAGATTATAAATGACTTATCAAAATTCCAGCTTTATCCTGTGCAGCTGCTTGCATGATCTTTAATAATTCACATCCAATCATTCAGGACAGTAAAAACACACACTGAGTTCCCACCTGAGCTGCCCAAGCTCTACACACACACACACACACACACACACACACACACACACACACAGGCTTATTCAGTTTCCTACAGAAAATAACAAATACATATAAGTGCCCACTATGTGCCCAGCACTATACCAGACAGTGCACTCCCTACTCTCGAGGAACCCTCAATTTAATGAGGGGCACATCTAGGAAGAAAGTTCACCACTGCATGGTGTATGTACACTGCACAGTGGCAGTTTCTTGAAGACTGCTGCACTGACTGAAAGGATGAGTGGTATAACCAAAAGAAGGCTAGTGTAGCAAAGATAGATCAGAACAAGCAAAGGCAAGGAGGGGAAAAAGCATGATGAGGTATTCAGGGACCTAAAGGCCAAAGGACATTAACAGTGCAGAAATTACAAGGTGAGAAAATGCAGAGCTAATAATCAGAAGAGTGAGGCCAGTTTGGGAGAGCCTGCCTTCCAGACCAGGCTGGGAATCAGGTCTGCACTGTACATGAGCTCTTAGGACTAGGGTACTTGAAGCAGAGGAATGATAGCCAGCTTCACTTTTGTAGGCAGTATCCACAGATGAGAACAAGAAAGGTAAGATTTCAGAGAGGGTCATAACTAGAGGTAGGACATGGGGTGAGCTACTGTGACATTAGTTCAGTAAGTGTTAACGAGGTCTTGAACCATGCCTTGAGATATGGGATCAGCCAGAATTTTGATGCCAGAATAGAACCGACTTTTCCAATAGGTCGGGGTGTGTGTGTGTACGTAAGTCAATCACCCCAGATTTGGAGTTGAGATGCAGAGTAGAGTGGGTATATCATTAAGTAGTGTAAGGTTACAGGAAGAGCATGCCTGTGAGAGGAACAGAGTAGCTCAGTTTTGGATTGGGTCTGAGGGTCTGAACCTAGAGATACCTGCGGCAACAAGATAGGAATCTGATGCTCTATGGGAAAGCAGGGCCATAGGTAAAGGACTTGAGAATCTTCACATTGTAAGTGGAAAACAGTAGAAGAGATTGCTCAATGTAAAATGAACTGAAGGTATGTAATGGTAAGTTGAAAGGAGTTTAAGAAAGAGACCAAGGGGCTGGAGGGATGGATCATCAGTTAAGAGCAGTGGCTGCTCTTGCAGAGAACCCAGGTTCGGTTCCTGGCTAACAACTGTCCATAGCTCCAGTTCCAGGGGAATCTGACACCCTCTTCTGACCTCTGTGAGCATTACATGACCTGGGTGCACTTACGTACATGCAGGCATTACACTCATATACATAGAATAAAAATAATAAGAAAGAGACCAAGAAGGATCAGCTGTGGGATGAACTGAAGGAATGAACTGTGTTATAAAGCCAAGTGAGTGGGTGGTACTTTGAAATGCAGCAACTAATAACATCAAGTCTGTCAAGGTCAATTATATTGCAACAGGAGCTCACTGAGTTCAGCTTCCATGGAGAAGGGGCAGAAATATCATGTAGAGCAGAAACAATGGGGCTCATCTCAGTCGTACACCCCCCCCACCGCTGCTACGCCCCCCTCTGGTAACAATGACAGTTTTAGGAAGACGACAATTTTTTATGCTTGTCCCTTACAGTATAAGAATTACTTCAAACTCTCTTCTAGTTTGATATTCCAATTGACTCATTAAAAAGTTCTAAATTGCCAGGCATGGTGGCACACACCTATAGTCCCAGCACTTGGAAGGCAGAGGCAGGCAGCTCTCTGAGTTCGAGGCCAACCTGGTCAACATAGTGAGTTCCAGGTCAGCTGGGGCTACAGGGAGACCCTGTCTCAAAAAGACCCCCCCCCAAAAAAAAAGAAGTTCTAAATCAGCTACATATCATACACACCTGGAATAGGAAGTATAGAGAAATCATGGCCCAAATAGGAAAAAAGTGCAAAAAATCGTGTTTTATGTTTCATGTATAAAGACACTTTAGAAAAAAGTTTGATGTAAAAGTATTACCAAGAGGATTCTTTAAAGACGTATATTTTGGCTGGGCATGGTGGCACACTCCTTTAATCCCAGCACTCGGGAGGCAGAGGCAGGCAGATCTCTGTGAGTTCAAGGCCAGCCTGGTCTACATAGTGAGTTCCAGGACAGCTGGGGCTACAGGGAGACCCTGTCTCAAAAACACTCCCCCCCCCCAAAAAAAGTATATTTTGACAATAATGAAAAAGAAAAGCCAAGTTCAACAGGACTTACTTCTGTGCTGAGGGCTAAAAGGTAATCAGAATTCTGAGGACTATACAGCATTTGCGTCAGAGGGTGGAAAGGAAGATCTGTCTGTACAAAGTTCCTTGCAAAGTCTGATGACCTGAACACTCTTCCTCCACGGCTTCCTCCAGACACCTCCGCTGTTAATATCACCTGGCCAGGAAGAAGAATGGTCAGAATTAGGAATGATATTTTGAAAGCATGGGAAGTTCCTGCAGCATTTTCTTGGTGCATTAGTTAAGGAAATTTTAGTTCCCAAAAGAAGAGTTATAAAACTTTGGGGGGGGGGGGGGAGTTGGAGAGATTGCTCAGTGGTTAAGAGCACTGACTGCTCTTGCAGAGGATCCAGGTTCAATTTCTAGCACCCACATGGTGGCTACAACCATCCTTAACTCCAGTTCCAGGGGAATCTGAAGCCCTCTTCTGACCTCTGTGACATTGCATGATATGGGTGCACTCACATACAGGCAGGCAATACACTCATACACATAAAATAATAAAATATTTAAAAAATACATTACTTATTGAACTCCAAGTCTTAAGTCTTATTAAAAAATACCCAAATTTAGCCAACACATCATGTCTCTGATTTTGACCCTAGTCAGTTTCCCCAAAGACTACAGTACTGTTGAAGGGAGCACATGTTACAATGCTGAACTACAGCCACATAAGTATAGAGGTTTCTGGTGCATCTTGGACATGAACCAGACCAAAAAACAAACAAAACAAAACTGTGAATTCTGTTCTTTTATGAACAGTATCAAACTATATTTAATTTTAAAATATAGTAACACTAAACTAAAGCACTACCCTAGTTTGTCTGTTGCTGTGATAAAATACCCTGATAGAAAGCAACTTTAGGGGGAGAATGAGTTTATTTGGCTTACAATTCTAGGTCACAATCCGTCATTGTGTGGAAGTGAAAGTAGGAATCTGAAGCAGCTGCTCACATCCATAGTCAAAGCAGGGAAAGATAAATGCACACATGCCTACTTGTGTTAACTCCCTCTATACTCGTACTGTCCAGGACCCTCTGCCTAGGGAATGGTGCTGCTCATATTGAGTGAGGTCTTCTCACATCAATTAATGTAATCAAGACTACCCCCCACAGACATGCCCAGGCCTACCTGATCTAGACCATCTCTCATTGATTCTCATTGCGTCAAGCTGACAATTAAAATGAACAATGACAAATGAACTGTGAACGGATGGATCATTCTAACACTAACATCCTGGTATGGAGCACCAACTTTGCATAAATAGGAATGCGTCTCACCTTTCCAGAGTTCTCAGGACCAATAGCCATGCCAAATTCAGTCCGAATGAAGGTGTTATTGATGAGATTTGTAATATCCTTAAAGTTCTTTCCATAATCCTCACTGAGGGGAAGAAAAAACAAGTAGCAAATTTAGAGCACAATGACAGAAGACACCGTTGGACTTTTTACTCAGTTCCTATTCCCCCTTTTCATGACTCAGTCAGTCAGCACCAGCTTGGTCGGAAGGATATTCCACTCCCCTCACCAGTGATGGAATCCAGAATAGGGACTGACCTAGGCTGAGCCAGTAAGGCAGGAAGGGAAAGTTTGAGGTCTTCAAGGAAACCCATTTCCTCCTAAGATACACCACTTAAAACTGGTCAGTCTTCTTTTAGACCAGTGATTCTTAACTGGGATGGTTTTGTTACCACCCCCACCCAAGTAACATCTGGAATATCTGGAGACAGTTTGATTATCACAGTTTAGATACTTGTATAAGTAGGCAGTGGTCAATGAAGTTGCTGAACATCCTACAATGTGCAGGACAATCCCACAACAGGGAATTATATGGCCCCAAATGTCAAAAGCATAATCATTGAGAAACTTCGACAATGTACTTCTATGTGAATGTAAAGCAAAACATGCGCTAGTTATTTTGTCACAATGAGAGTACAACTGAGGTAACTCTAAGAAAACCAGAGCATATTACACTAGACTGAAGTGACTCTGAAGCATATTGTTACTCTGTTCTTAGTTATGTGAATCAATAATTTTCTTATTACCCAAGCTACTTTGAGTTGGAAGCACTGCTAAATGCAGCCAAAGAACCACTAGTACTTATGGTAAAGTGACAGATGAAGGAAAGGGGGTCTTGAAGTTTTCCTGTGCTAAGTAAGCATTCCTAGGCATAAGTTTCTAACTCATTTAACACACAAACGAAAAGCAAATGAAACTTCAACTCTTGGTTTCTCAAAGTTTTTCCCAGAATTTCATTCCAACAATCTTTGAGAAGTGCTTAAATCCATATTTAGGTTTTTGAGTAGAAAAAAAATCGGTAGCTTTCTAATTCTGATAGACCTACTATGCGTATCTCTCCTAAAATTTGACACAGATCCTAAACTCAGTGTTTATTAGATTTAAGGGGAAGAGATCTGACCCAGGACCTGGGCTGCTCTCAACCTTGGTCAGAGAAGCTTCTTTTCGCAGTGAGCTGCAGTCAGTGAAGAGACACATAATTAGTCAAAGTGCTGAGAAGAGACTGTGTTCAGCTAAAGGGACCATTACAGAAGAAGAGGCAGAAAGAATGTAAGAGTTGGAAGATGGGAAGGAGTGCTGTGAAATGCTGTCTTCTGGATGTGACATGGCTGTCACACTTAGGAACTCACAGCAGCTGTGGTTACCTGCAAAAGATCTATACAAGATTAAGCCAGTTAAAACGTGTGCATAGATGGGGTAGATGATCTCTAGGTGCCACTCCTTACTGAGGAACTATTGGCCTTTGATAGCTACAAGGGAAAGGAGACTCATGTTTCTTTGCTGGTATGGCCACTGGTAGATTTCCCATACTCACACCATGCACATACGAATGGCACTTATTGGAATTAGTGGGTTATCAAAAAAAAAAAAAATCCACAAAATTTGGAGGGGATGGTGCTGAGAGGAACACGGGGAAATGGGGAGTTTATGTGATCCTATTTCATTGTACATGTGTATGAAACTCTCATACTTTATTTTCAAAGAATAAAAAAGTAAATAAAATCCAAGTACCCATGAGTGAAGACCACCGTGCACCATAAGCCCACTGCCCACAGATAGAGGAAATTGCAGTAGTGTTCACATCTATTACTTAAAAGGACACTATAAATTTTGGTAGCTGCCTCAACAAATAATCAAGTACAGAACATGAGAGATGCAGGAAGAGGGAACAACGTATGCAACTTTCTTATTTCGCGTAAGGATCTGCAAGGGGAAGCAATTTATCAAAAGCCAAGGAGCTAATTAAAGACAAAATTGAAACTACAGTCCAGTTCTTTTCATTCTCAGCCCCAAACTACAGACTTTTCATTATTTCTAAGGGGTCTTTTTCCTTACAACTTGGGGCCTTCCTTTTTCTTGCCAGAGCTTCTCCCTGACAGCAGAGAGCAGCTCAGTAGAAACTGCAGACAGGCAGGACAAGCCTGTTTGTGCAGGTCTCTGGTAAGGGTGAAAGCAAACTACAGTTGCTGGAATGACTCCCCCACCCCCTCCCCAGTCTTCAAGCACATACTCAGAATTCCTAGATAAATAAAATAGGATTAGGCACCTCCAACAACTTCCTATATTGCCCCATCTTTGGCTCCAGAGTAAAAGATCATTTCTTATGTTCCTAGTAGCCAGCAGGAGATATGCATAGACAGCGCCTAGCTCTGCAGGGTGCACACCATCAACAGCCCAGACAACTGTCCAAGGGGATGTGGCAGCTTGAGTATCACTAGTTTACAAATCTTCCTTCCTTCATAACATTCCCCAGGGAACCTTCGCAAATCTGTTGGCAAGAATGCTTGTTCTTTAAGAGCCTGGTACAATGAACATATTCCTGGCCTTCTAAAAAGAAAGATAACATGAGTAAAACAAGAAAAACATCCACTACAACCCTCCACTACTGTTGGTTAAACAAATAGAGAAAACAGAATAGTGCTAACCTTCTGGGAGTTAAGTAGGGTTCTGTCAAGGCTGCTTTGGGTCTAAAATACACATTTTAAAAACAATATTTTATTTAAATGTAGCTTTATTTTCTGTCAGCAGACACGTGCATGTCATGTGCAGAAGAAATCAACAAAACATCCTGAAAAAGAAATCTACTTTTCTTTCCTTTTTTTTTTCTTTTAAAATCTTTTCTGTACCCACAGCTGGTCTGGAACTTGCTATGGAGACCAGCCTGGCCTCTACCTCCCAAGTGCTGGGACTAAAGGCATGTGCCACCATGCCTGGCTAAAATAAGAAATCTACTTTTCAAATTCCATGTAACAACAGAATTGTAAGCAGTTGTCAAATTATAGTTAGCCATGAAAACTCTGTAAAACCACTTGCTTTAGAAACAAATCTGCCTAATACAATTCTGTGTATCAACCTTCATATCCACACTTTCTGGTGAACAAAAATAAACGATCCGAGGTCTTTTGTGCTTCCATATGAAACTTAGGATAGTTTTTTCCAATTCTGTGAAAAATGTCATCAAGATTTTGATTGGCATTGCATTGAATTTATATATGACTTTTGGTAGGATGGTCATTTTCATAATATTAATTCTTCCAATCCATGAGCATGGGGGGACCTTCCATCTTCTGATGTCTTCCTCGATTTCTTTCTTTAAAGATTTAAAATTTTCATTGTAGATCTCTTTAATGTCTTTGGTCAGATTTATTCCGAGATGTTTTATTTTTTTTTGCAGCTATTGTGAAGGGGAGTGTTTCCATGTGCTCTTTCTCTGATTGCTTGTTATTGCTATACAGAAAGGCTATAGGCTTTTGTAGGTTAATTTTGTAACCTGCCACTTTACTGAACGTGTTAATAATTTCTAGGAGTTTTTGGGTGGAATTTTTGGCATCCCTTAGATATAATATCATATCATCTGTAAAAAGGAATTTATTTAGAATGATGTTGGCTGTGGGCTTGTTATATATGGCTTTAATTATGTTAAAGTATGTTCCCTCCAGTCAAATTCCCTCTAGGACTTTGAACATAAACGCATGTTGAATTTTGTCAAAGGCCTTCTCTGCATCTATTGAGATGACCATGTGGTCTTGTCTTTGAGCCCATTTGTATGAATTATGACGTTTATTGACTTATGTATATTGAACCATCCCTGCATCTCT